CAGGGCACTTTGGTCCCTATATTAATAATTATAACCCTTACTTATATAGTCCTTTGAGGTTGGAAGTTGTTTTCAAGTACACTATGTCACAATTCTGTTTTTTGGCACATAAACATGTACATCATGTTTGTGATTATATACAACATGTACATAAACAGGTCCATAAACATGTATCATCCTGTGATACAAATGAATCAATTTAAAAGAAGCAAATTAAGGCACGTTAAAAAAAAAAAACAAAAACTTTTGGTTAGGGTTAACTAAATAATAACCAATGAATTCCTTATTCATTCCCCTAAAATGAGGTTTTTTCCCCCCCACAGTAAATTCCCAAGTCAGAGAGGCTGCTTCAGAGAGAATCCTGTCTCCTGAACTCGAGCAGAACTGCAGGGTGGCTCCCAATGTAAATTTACCTTCCTTCCACTCCACAAATGCCTAGTCACAAAAGTACTACACCTACTTGTATTATTTTTAATGTTATAACAAGAAAAAACCACATAGTTACTGTATAATTCGTGAGTTCTATATCACCAATAACTTTGACTTGAATAGCAACAACATTGTAAAAATAGTTTGCCTTCACTCAAAACTCTTTAGATTTAAAGCAAACTAAAGAAGCTTTGAGTCAGAGTTTATTCTATGATGATGAGAACGTAAAACAGATTTAAAATGTCTCTGAATCCAGGGGTACCTGGGTGGCTCAGCTGGTTAAGTGTCTGTCATTGGTTCAGGTCATAATCCCGGTGTCCGGGGATCGAGCCCCTCATCGGGCTCCCTGCTCAGCTGGGAGCCTGGGATTCTGCTTCTCTCTTTGCCCCTTCCCCCTGCTCATGCTCTGTCTGTCTCTCCCTTGCTTTCAAATAAATAAATAAATAAATAAATAAATAAATAAATAAATAAATAAATAAGCCCCAGTGCACATTGTGCAAGAACAGTTGCAAAAAAGACAAACAGTACATTAAACACATCACAACAGTTCCTATAGTAGTAGGAGGAGAAGAGTAGGGAATGGGCCTTTTTTTTAAAAAGCATACAAATTATTGACAGAGAATTTTTGGCAGACCAGTGGTGATAATACACCATAAGTTATGAGTATGAAGACCTCAACCCTCTGGCTCTGAGGTACAAAATCCTATACAAACAGTGAAGAAACCATGACCCCTCTCTTTTTAGCAGGGAGACAGAAAGTTTTGCCACAGTCCAGCTCCATGGACACAAGACAACCTATGTCTCTCTTTTTAATCTGAGATATTTGGCCCACGTGATGACATCCAATTGCAACATTTCCTTGCCCCGCTGACTCTACCAACTGAACCACAGTTGGGCACCCCTAGACATGCATCTTCTGTCCTTTGTCTTTCTTCCTGCCTGGAATGTGGAGATGCTGCCCAGTGGTACAATAAACATTCTGTGACTATGGAAGAAAGCCTTTCACTACAGATGGCAGTACAAGAGTCTGGTTTCCTGTGCAGTGTCCTGGGATGGAGCCCTGTGTTGAGTCCCGCATCGGGCTCCCTGCTTAGCGGGGAGCCCGCTTCTCCCTCTCCTTCTGCCCCTCCCAGCTGCCCATGTTCTTTCTTTCTCTCTCTCTCTCTCCCTCCTCTCTGTCTTTCCCATGAGCTCTCTCTCTCAAATAAGTAAATAAATAATAACCACTCCAGGTCAACCAGGATCTCTTTCCCAGGTAGTCATTGTGACTCAGCTTAATGGCTGAAATGAGCTGTCATGATGATAAAGCTCGGTACTGGCTGTTGCATGATCACAGAGTCAGTTAGAATATGGATTAGAGGATCAAGGAAGAAGATTTGCTCTTTACTTTGCTCTAAGACAAAATCTTATTCAATTCAGTGCTCTGACCTTAGGTTTCAAAGAACTCTGATCTAGCAAGCTGAGGGAACACGTCACTTAATACAATCGTGCAAGTAATAAGAAAATGTATCTCTTCAAATAATTCAGATAATACAGATGTGAACAGCATAAAAAGCAAAACTCATTGTTATCTGGTGACAATTACTTCTGATGCTTTTCTATGGCAATGTACTTTAAAAATACACGTTCTTTTTTTTTCTTTTCTACAACTTCCCCTGCGTTGGTCTGGTGAGATAATGCTTGTGAAATAATTATAAAACTGGATAGTAATATTATTCTCATAATTGAAAGAATCCCTTAATACATGTAAGATACTACATTTGGAGAGAGAACAATTATGCCTCTTCCCACAACACAATGCAGTGCAGCACCAACTAGGAGCCCTTAGTAGCTAACTTCTAAGTCTCACAACAGTCCAGGAAAGTAAATTTTTAATTATCTTCCTCAGAGCCTAAGGGATCTGAAGTTCAAGAAGTGAAATCAATTAGAGATCACAGAGTTAATCAGTAGGAGGGTTGATTTGAATTCGAGTTAACATGCTCAAAGCCCTGTCCTTTTCACTGTTCATTTTATCTTCCAATATAGGTGAGATGGGTTCCTCTTGCAGGTAAGAAGAACTTTAGGAAAGGTCACACTTATGGGATCTCTGTAAACAACTATTGGTAATGTTATTTTGGATATACAAATATACTGAATGTCTTGGAATGTCACTCTCTCATCCTGGTTTCCCCTCTTAGTCCCTCTTCCCATCCTCCTATCCATTTGGCTAGTGTCTGATACAATTATTTCTTTAAAAAAATTTTATTTATTTGAGAGAGAGAGAGAGCATGAGCAGAGGGAAAAAAGAAGCAAGCTCCTTGCTGAGCAGGGAGACCAATCCCAGGGACTGGGATTCATGACCTGAGCCAAAGGCAGATGCTTAACCAACTGAGTCATCCACGCAGAGCTTTAGAGAGGTAACTGAAGTTAAATAAGGTCATAAATGGGTGCGCTCCAATCTGTGATTGTATTTGGAGACAGGACCTTCAAAAAGATGACGAAATTCAATGGAGACTGTTAGGTGGGGCTTAAAGAAAAGAGATACACCAAGCATGTACATGCGCAGAGAAAAACCCTGTGAGAACACAAAAAGAAGGTGGCCATCAGCAAGCCAAGAAGCATGGGCTCAGGAGAAGCCAAACTGGCCAATACTTTGATCTGGACATCCAGCTTCCATAACTGTAAGAAACTTAAATTTCTGTTGTTTAAGCTATCCAACCAATAGTAATTTGTTATGCAGCTATAACAACCAATAGACATTCTCAGAGACACCCAGATTTCTTTCAGCTCTTCTGTTGAAAGCTTTTTTTTTTTTTAAAGATTTTATTTATTTATTTGACAGACAGAGATCACATAGGCAGCAAGGCAGGCAGAGAGAGAAGGGGAGGCAGGCTCCCTGCTGAGCAGAGAGCCCGATGTGGGGCTCAATCCCAGGACCCTAGAATCAGGGCCTGAGCAGAAGGCAGAAGCTTAACCCACTGAGCCACCCAGGTGCCCCCTTTGTTGAAAGCTTTTCAAGTCACCAAACAAACCAACTTTCCTGCAAAGCTGATAATACTGCACACCTAACATCTGATTATCACTAAATTTTATGTTACTATTTTATGTTGAAAGCTGAGAAGTCTGTCTCTTGGAGTTCTGAATCTTTGACTCAGTGCCTTGTTAACTGAAAGCCTAGCAAAGAGAAGAGAGGAATCTGACCCCTGATGACATTGACTAGTTTAGGTAACCCAGGCCCAAGCTTTTCAGTCTTTAATTGGCCCCTGATTGGTTTAGAAACATTTCAACCAACGAAAGGTGGAGGAGTCTTGCTAGGAATTTTGTGACATGGTTATTTTTCTTTCCTTTAGGTCTGTAGAGCTACTGCAGCCACTGTGTCACTCTGAGGGAAGCAAGCCTTTCTGATGCCCAGAAAGCAGTGTAATAAGGATAAAATATGCCAGATCTTGATTCAGACCAGACCTGAAGCCCATCCTACTTCCAGTCACATGAACCAGTAAATCTCTCTTATTTTTTAAGCCAATATGAGTCTTATGTAACGTGCAAACCACCCCCCCCAAAAAAAACCCCAAACAAAAAACCCATTCTAAATGATACAGGTAGGTGCAAGGGTACAAATCTGAATAAAGCCAGATCTCATCCTTTGGGGGGCTTAAATTCATTTGCACTGATCAAATTGGCAAAAAGTGAATACAACAATAATACCAGTTTTGATGTTAGCTTTAGGTAACAGAAACTCACCAACACTGATGGTAGGAATGTAAACTGCTATTTTTGGAAAACAATCTGATAATACATTAGGTTCTGATCCCTGGCTGGATCAGAACTCAGTGGGAAGTCTGCTTGAGATTCTCTCTCTCCCTCTCTCTGCCCTTCCCCCATTCTCTCTCTCTCTTTCTAATAAATAAATAAATAAATAAAAAGTAAAAAACTCTGCCCTCTGCTCGGGGATCCTGCATTTGTCTCCTTCCTGCCTGAGCGGGGAAGGCTGCGGCTGGTTCTCCTGCACACCAGCTTTGCACCCAGTTCCCAGTTAGGAACTGTTGCAAGTACAGTTCCATCTGGGCAGGGCTCCGATGGAGACCTTTGCTATTGGAAGCACACTCCTACACACACACGCACACAAACATGCACAGACTTGCAGGAGCAGCTCCGCCCTTGGGGGAAGCCCCGCCTTCTCCCAGACTGCCTTAAATTCAGTCGGTGGGCGCTCTGCTGCACAACCCCAACCACATTCTCTGTCTGGGAAGTGGAACCTGCGGACTTGGGTAAGTAAACATCTCCGCCCCGCTCTTTTTTTCCTGCTGAGTTCCTAGAATTCCCTATCATGGAACGTTTGCGCGTTGTTCTCCCTCTCTTGCTTAATAACTTCTGAGTCTTGCACTACGAGGAAAGGGAAAGCCAGATGTCCCGATCGATGCCCACGGGCCCCTCCTTGTTCTTGGAGGGTTTGGAGACAAGCTGGAACGAAGCGCACGGCCTGTCTCCATTTGGGTGCATGGCAAAGCTGCCTTAGCCAGGGCGGCGGCTGGCCAAGAAACTTGAGGGACTGCAAAACTGGGACCATTGTGAAAGGAGACGAAAGAAAGGGGTCGGAATTTGGTTAGTGGAGACGGGCGTGTGCGGGAAAGGAGGTGGGAGCCAAGGGCGAGTGTGCCTGAGGGCACTGCACCCGGACACCCTCCTTTGGTGGGTGGGACTGTCCCTGAACTTCGGCTGCCTCTGAGGCCACATCCTTTCGAGGGGGGCGGAGGACGACTTCTGAACTTGCAGCGAGGTCAGAATTCGCACATGGCTGCCTTTTTGGGAAAAGAGACCTGTAGAAGAGCGGGGCTGCGGATTCACTGCCGGGAACGCTCCCTTTGCAAAGCAAAAGGATCCAGGGCGCTGCTGTTACCCGCGCCCAACATGCATATTCATGAGGGGGGCTGGGCAAAAGAAAGTTCAGTGTGGAACTGGGGCAAAGGTCGTCCGAAATCCAGGGAGTCCAGGTCCTGACTGACTCAAGTCTTGACAGCCAGCAAGGGTCGGCATCATCAGCCCTCTGATCCAGTTCGCCCGGAGTTTGCGCGCTCAGACAGCCCATGTTCTTCAGCCCATGTGAGATCAGTCTTTGCTTTTGAAACAGCGCTGGGAGTTTTGCCATCGATACGCTGCGTCCGATTTGGTTGGGCTAATTTCCGGCCAGGTGAAGACCATTCGTTTTTGCGTTCCCTCAGTTTCCATAAAATCCGAAACTACTGAGGTTCTTGCAGTCCCTTGGAACGCGAACACGCAAGCGGGATCGGTAGGGCGCGGATCGCAGAAAGAGCTGACGGCCAGAAATGACTTCTCCTGCGGCGGGAAAGCTCCGCCTCAGTTTTCTTTGTTCCGGGGACCCCTAACTCTTCCCTGCTTACTCTGCGGCGGGACCGCGGAAATAGCGACCGCAGACCCGTCCGCTAGAGGTAGGCACACACGTGGGGAAGGGGCGGCTCCCGGGGGACACGGGGGAGATCCGTCCAAGCAACACGTCCCGATCCCAAAGCTCTAGGGCCGCCTGAATCATCTCTCCGGTTTCCTGTGGAGGCGAGCGTAGACCCCGGATTTCCTATTTGGTGGCAGAGTCACCTCGCCCCGGAGCGGAGCGGCAGCGCCACGCCGTGGCGTCCGGAGGCTGAGACTGGTGGCCTTGGTGGTGTCTCCCTCTGAACGACGCGGGCCCACTTCCGTTCGCTTCTGGCGTTTGACGCTCTTTCTCAGGATTCGCTGTCTGTGAGGCGAGGAGCGGAGTGTTTGCCCGCCGCGGAGCTGTCCAGTGCCCTAAGGCAACCCCAGCGGTGGCTGGGAAGAATGTGTCAGTTTTAACAGTTTGCCCCTGTCTTGGAGATTTCTGAGGAAGCCTCGGTTTCCTCATTCGTGCTCTCTCCACTGGCCGTGATAATAATGCCTATCTGAAAGGGAATTTATGGGGGTAAAATGAGATGATGCGTCCGAAGTGCTCAGCACAGTAACAGAAATGTAGTAAATACTTAATAAATGTGGTTGGCGTTAAATGGTCCTGGAGAGAAGCAGGCGATGAATGGATTCTGCTGCCGGGCTTCAGGGCAGGGGCTGGGAAGTCATAAGAATCCAGTCACGTCCTGGTAGTCGGCTGTGTGTTGACTGTGTTCCAGAAACTTCAGGATGGTTCGTGCTAAGAGCTGGACCCTGAAGAAGCACTTTGAAGGCAGCCCTACTCACAGCAACTTCGAGTTAAAGACAGTTGAACTCCCATCCTTAAAAAATGGAGGTAAGTGACAGATTTGAGCTGGAAAAGACTGTATCAGTGAGCCTTTGCTGCATAATAAAGTACCTTGACATTTAGTGACATCAGACGACATGTTTTGGCTCACAGTTCTGTGGGTTGGCAATTTGGGCTGGATTAAGTTGGTGGTAACTCTGTAGGTTTCATCTGGGCTAACCGTTTAACCGAGGTTGGACCTCACTCATTTGTCTGGTGGTTAGCAAGCTTTCTGCAGATGTGTGTGCCTGAGGCCTCTGGGTGGCCTTTCTAGCAGGCTGGCTTCTAGCCGGCTGTGAGCTCTGTCTTCTCAGTGGTCCCACTGATCTAGAGCACCCGGTGTTAGCAAGTACATTTCAAGCCTCTACTTATATCATGTTTGCTGCTATGCAAAGCAAGTCACATAGCCATGTCCAAATTCAAAGAGTGAATTTTTTTAAGACTTTATTTATTTGTCAGAAAGAGAGAGAGCACAGGCAGACAGAGTGGCAAGGAGAGGCAGAGGGAGAAGCAGGCTCCCTGCAAGGAGCCCGATGTGGGACTCGATCCCATGACGCTGGGATCATGACCTGAGCCAAAGGCAGCCACTTAAAACCGACTGAGCCACCCAGGTGTCCCGAGACATAGACTTCTTGATGGGAGGATGGCAAGGAGGTCCCACACAGCGATGGGACATCTTTGTGACAATTTTGCAATCTGCCACAGAGATTTTCTCAAGGTTTTCTGTTTGAAGCCTTGATGTCATGTGGGAGGAGGATCCCTCTGATTTCTTTCATAATTGAAATGTTACATTGTCTGTGACTTCAACAAACGCTAGGGAGGATTTCCTTTCTGTCCTGGTAAGCCTGGTGATGGGGTAAGCAAGTGGGGTAAGTAGAGCCTAACAGCCATGTGCAGAGCTCAGATTATCCTGTGCACAGACAGGAGGGAAAAACTCTCATCCTTCACTGAGGAGTCTCCCATCCCGTTGGGGGAAGTGGAAGGACAAGGCAAACCCCTAAAGAAATCTAGGGGAGAGAAACAGTAGCACATAGCATGCTTGGAGATTAATATAGTAGAGCAGACAATAAGGGGTATTTACAGGCAGGTAGGCAGGCTTGGAGAAAGGGGCATGCAATCAAATAGCATGGTCAAGTTCAGTCCCATCTAAGTTGGGATAGATAGCCAGGACCCAGATTCAAAATTCCAGAGAATGTGTGCATGAGGGTCACTCCAGCAAAATCTATATTCTTTAGTCCTAACAGGGGCTGTCAGTGAAACATTATGGGAGCACGGGAACATAGTGATTATAAATGTGGCCCTGACCAAGTTCCTTAATCTAAGCCTAAATGAAATGGAAACAGTAATAGTTGGAAATATCATATGAAATAATCCATGTAAAGCATGGAGTGAGTTCTGAGAAAATCATATGATGATGATGGTGATGGTAAGGTTGATGATGGTTTGGGCTGGACGCCGCTTGTCTCTTCAATAGCAAGCACAGAAGGGCAACCGTGAAGCAGAAAGACGATCTTATTTAGAATGTTTATTTTGACTGTTTACGTAGAATGCCAAAGTCAACGAAGGTATCAAGCATTGAGTTTCTAATTGCCTGTGGAATGCTTTATTTTATAGAGGTCCTGCTGGAAACTTTGTTCCTTACTGTGGATCCTTATATGAGGTATGATTTTCCTCCTAAAAAGATACGTGTTGTGCTTTGGACCCTGTTTTGAAATAGTCCATCTTTTAAAATATCCAACTGATTGTCATTCCCCCTGTTGTCCCAGTATAATATCAGTGATAAGATTCATGGATGCTCATCTTTGCCAGCAAAGGTTTGAGAAGTTTGATGAGAGATTCCCTTGGCCCCTCTCTTTGACCACCATTTCCTATCTTAATATGCACAATTTGCCTCTCACTGTTCCCGAAAAAGTAAAACACTAAAGAAACCCAAATCCAATTTGTCCATTTCACTACTGACAACTAATTTGGGTAGAGGAAAATGGTAAGACTAAAATAAGCTTTTTTTGCCTTCCATTTAACTGTATTCTTTTAATTTAATCAAATATGTGTACCTAGTAAACAACTCAGGGAAGGGAGGGAATAAAAGCATTTATGTGTCACTAACTTCTCAGTAATTTTGCTTATTGGTATATAATGTAGTCATCATTCTTTAAAATAATTGTTTTCAGAGCTGATCAATAGAGATTCAAATCTAAGGTAAAAAAAAAAAAATGTTTCCAAATGTTAACTAACATCCCTTTTTGAGTGGTTAGTAGGATTGTGTGATGATTCCAATTTGTAAGCCTTTCCAATCAATTCTCCTGCAATACCAACCAATTCCCCTGCCAAAATCAAGAGTCAGAAATGCAGCCCACTGAGCCACCCAGATGCCATTTCCCAAGAAGTCTTTAGGTATTAAAAATGGTTTTTTTTTTTCAGAGTGGCATCCAAAAAATTGAAGGAGGGTGATGTGATGATGGGGCAGCAAGTGGCCAGGTATTTCTTTGTGTCTCCATGTCTGAGAAATATGTCTCTCCTTTACCTCCTTCTGGGTCTGATTCTGTCTATCATCCCTATAATTTCTTGAGCCCATGTGATTCACTCACTGATCTTGGAAGCAGCTTGGGAAACCTTGCCCCTTTCCTGACTAATTGGGATGAAGGGAAGCCCGTGAAATTACCATCGCTACTTAAAAATTACTTAAAAAATTATAATTGTCCAACTTACAATTATTGCAAAAATTCGAGTAAATCAAAAATTAGTATCATGGAAACCGGAAGATCCCTCACCAGCTGAAACTTAGAGGAGACTGTTGTTAATGTATTATTATTTCAAAAATTGTTTAGTACACCAACTAGTATTTATAATTTTTCTTAAATAATGGGATTATATGCCCTTCAATAAATTGCTTTTTCTCACTTAATATGTTATGGATATCTTTTTGATAATATGTAAATATGCTACCTACCTTTTAATGGCTGCAATTTTTTTTAAATCAATCTTTTTTTTCCTCCCAAAGATTTTATTTATTTGAGAGAGACAGAGCACACATGGAGGGGGGAGGCACAGAGGGAGAAGCAAACTCCCCACTGAGCAGGGAGCCTGACACAGGGTTCAAACCTAGGACTCCAGAATCACAACCTGAACTGAACTTAGACGCTCAACCAACTGAGCCACCCAGGCATCCCTTAATGGCTGCAAATTTATCCCATTGTTATCTGCTGTGTAACTAATCTGCTCCTGGTAGCAACTGTTTCCAGTTTTTTCTATCACAAATAGTTCTACAAGGAACATGTATGCCTCTTTATGTGTATGTCTGTGTATTCTCTGCCTACTTGGATGAATATTGCTTCACATTAAATTCCCAGAAGTATAAACTATAGGTCAAAGGAGATGCATATTTATTTATTTATTTATTTATTTATTTATTTATTATTTTAGAGAGAGAGAGCGCACACGTTTGGGAAGGGGCAGAGGAAGAGGGAGAAAGTCTTAAGAAGACTCCATGCTGAGCACAGAGCCCAGTGCAGGGTTCAATCTCAGCACCCTGAGATCATGATTGAGCCTAAACCCCATCAGATGCTTAACCAACCTTGCCACCAAGATGCCTGAGATATGCCCTTTTTTTTTTGAATGTGCAATCATCTAATTTATAAAAAGATGCAACAATATTTAAAATGATATAAAATATCGATTTCAAAATGACATCAAAAAGTGAGTGTATTTAACCATACTCAGCTCGTAACAGAGCAAATGGGTAAGAAGAGTAATTCATGCTATAGCATATTGTTAATACGAACTGGCAACAGAAAAAGTTGCTAAAGGAAGGCAGAAGAACTCCATCTTTTAAGAATTAGAACCAAAGGGCTCCATTATTTTCTAGCATCTGTTCAGTGTTGTACCTATGTTAGAAATGTACATGATGGGAACTCCAGGGATCTTCTGGATCCTTCCTTTAAGGTCCTGGTCAACTGTAGCCACAATATAACACTTGTTCTCAGTTCCTCTCTGTACTAAGCAGGCATCTGCCTAGATTCCTTTGTGTGTGCATGGTAACCATTCAAATCTTGGATCCTTGGCAGTCCTTAGAAGTACTCAATACTTTTGCCCCAGTTTCTCAGTTTCATCCATTACACAGTCAGTTATACAAGGGATACACTTAGCATACAGACAGACCATCATTGATTGTACTAAGTCAAGTTTGACTTTAATGGAAAAGTTGATGAAGTTGGTATCAACCGGGATGTGGTATGGTAGGCCCAGCTGGGTGTTATCCTGGAAAAATAAGCAGGAAGAATTTGGGGGGACTTGGGATCTTTCTTTTCAGGTTTTAATCTAACCTTCTCCTTAAGCCTCTGATCTCAGAGACTAAGCATTTCCTTCATGGACTCATGCTTTCTTGATTTCTTTTGCTTCCCCATGTTCACACCTTACTCTTGTTTCTTCTGGAATCACCAACCTGAAAGAAACACATTTTTTTTTTAATTTTTTTTAAAGATTTTTTTTTAAAGATTTTATCTATTTATTTGACACACAGAGAGAGATCACAAGTAGGCAAAGAGACAGGCAGAGAGAAAGGGGGAAACAGGCTCCCTGCTGAGCAGAAAGCGGGGCTCGATCCCAGGACCCTGAGACCATGACGCGAGCCGAAGGCAGAGGCTTAACCCTCTGAGCCACCCAGGCACCCCGAGAAACACATTTTTAATTTGAAGTTTTGACGTCAAATTGCTCTTTGAAAAGATTGTATGAATCTCCCTCCAATAGCATATTAAAGAACTTATTTCCTCATACCTATATGCCTATTGCTTATCATCTTGGCAATCTGAGGTGAAGTCACATTGATGTTTCCGTTTAACTTCCATTTCTTTCATTATTAGGAATGTTGACTTTTTTGGTAATTTATCAGTTTTCTTCTGTGAATATCTTTATGTCCTTTCCTTTATTCCTTTAGGTCTTTTCATCTCTTACAGTGATTCGTGAGATCTTCTTACGTGTTAGGAATATTAGTGTTGCAAATATTTAGGTCTTTATTTTTATCTTTCTCCCATGTCCAATCATAGTTTAAAATTTTTATGTGGGGGCACCTGGGTGGCCCAGTTGGTGGAGTGTCTGACTCTTGGAGCATCTTACTCTTGGTTTTGGTATAGGTTGTGATCTGAGGATCATGGGATCGAGCCCCCCCACCCCCAATATGGCTCTGCCCTCAGCAGGAAATCTGCTCGAGAGAATATTTTTTTTTTAAGATTTTATTTTTTTATTTAGTTGACAGAGAGAGAACACAAATAGGCAGAGAGGCAGGCAGAGAGAGAGGGGGAAGCAGGCTCCCCACTGAGCAGAGAGCCCAACGTGGGGCTCCATCCCAGGAGCCCGGGATCATGACCTGAGCCGAAGGCAGAGGCTTTAACCCACTGAGCCACCCAGGCGCCCCTGCTCGAGAGAATATGAAGCAGGCTTTGCACCCAGGATGGAGCCCAATATGGGGTTTGATCTCACAAACCTAAGGTGAAATAAAGAGTCAGATGCTTCACAGACCGAGCCACCCAGGTGCCCCTAAATTCATTTGTTTTTAAAGGATTCTTACTAACATAAGTGTAAGTCATATATACTAATGTAATATTGGGAAAGAAAAACTGGGTTGCAAAACAAAGTGATTTCAATTATATAAATCATATAATATACATTTAAAAATGCATTTATTTGGTTTTTTAAAATCCAGTATAATTAACATACAGTATTATTCATTTCAGATATACAATATAGTGATTCAAAAATTGTATCTTTTTGAATTAGTGTTTTCATATTCTTGGGGCAAATACCCAGTAGTGGAATTACTGGATCATATGTTCTATTTTTAATTTTTTGAGAACTCTCCATAACTTTGTCCGCAGTGGCTGCACCAGTTTGCATTCTCATAATATACATTTCAAAATATATCATTAAGATTGCCGTAACACACCCCAGAATATTAGCAGTTATCTTTGTATTGTGGGATTAGAACCGATATATTTTTTAATTTTTTATTTTTTATAAACATATATTTTTATCCCCAGGGGTACAGGTCTGTGAATTGCCAGGTTTACACACTTCACAGCACTCACCATAGCACATACCCTCCCCAATGTCCATAACCCCACCCCCTCTTCCAACCCCCCTCCCCCCAGCAACCTTCAGTTTGTTTTGTGAGATTAAGAGTCACTTATGGTTTGTCTCCCTCCCAATCCCATCTTGTTTCATTTATTCTTCTCCTACCCCCTTAACCCCCCATGTTGCATCTCCACTTCCTCATATCAGGGAGATCATATGATAGTTGTCTTTCTTTGATTGACTTATTTCGCTAAGCATGATACCCTCTATAGAACCGATATTTTTATTTCATATATCAAATTTTCTTAAAATAAATGTGTTACATAGCTTCATGATCGGGGGTTGGGGGAGACAGTAAAAAATGGTAACGGCAGGAGAAGGTGGGAGAAAGAGAGTCCGCAGATGAGACTAAAAAGAAGCAGCTTAGAGGGGGAGGCAAAAATCCCAGTGAAGTCAATATTATGGAAACCAATGAGGAAGAGTCTGGGTAGCCCAGAGTGTTGAATACAGTAGAAGGGTAAAATCAGATAATGAATGAGGAGTGTCCACTGGATTTTGCAATCAGAAGTTGTTGTGACCCTAGTGGAGTAGCAGGGCTGAAAGGCTGCGCTGGAGAGGACAGTGCTATAGATTCGGGAAAGAGGAGGGGCTAGGGATGGAGGGCGGCCCCTGAAGAACAGAAGAGGCTGGTGTCCAGGGCACCTTGAGCCCAAGGATACATGCCTCTTAGAGAGAAGTGGGTGAGGACTGGGACAGATGTGGAACCAGTTCAGAGAGTTCCTCTCTAATGGCCCATATTTTCTCTCAAGGAGGCAGAGGAACCAGCGGCGAGGAATTACAATGGAGAGATGTGGTGGGATATTTAATCATGGATTATTAACTTTAGTGCCCTTTTAGGAAACCACCCATGCAGCATTCCAACTCCCTTGAAAGAGGTTTCCCATGTCGTAATGTGCTTTATCTTGCAGAGTTGTGGAAAGTAAAAACTCAGCCTTCCCAGCAGGCGCTCTGGTAGTGGCTCGTTCAGGTTGGACGACGCACTCTATTTCTGATGGGAAAGATCTGGAAAAGCTACCCACAGAGTGGCCGGACACCATCCCAGTGTCTTTGGCTCTGGGAGCAGTGGGCATGACAGGGTGAGTTTCATGGGTTTATTTCATTTGTTTAAAAACATGACATTCTGGTTTTCTAAAATAGTTTGTTCAGAATGTGGTCAGCACATAGGGTGTCTTGCGGCTCTCCAGGCTCCAGAGATTTAACATTCCCCCAGCGTTTGTGTTGCTTCCTTCATTGGACCTCTGTTCTCTGCTAAGCTGGAGATGTTCGTGTGTTTTGCTCTCCAATCTGTTATTTATTGAAGTCCCCCTTAGACCAAAGTGTGCCTTTAATTTTCCCTCTAAGATTCCTTTTCTGTTGACTTCATCTTACCTCTTTTCCATTTTTAGAAGGGTGTGATGTTTGGGAAAGGCCTTGTGTATCTTGGGTCAATATGTCTAACTGAGAGCTGATTTTAGAATTTTCTAGAATGGAAATTGGGATGGGAGGGGTACTGATTGTCATGGGTGGAACGACATAATCAGAAAATGCACCTTCTGCTTTGTATTTGAGGTTACGCTAACTTGTCCAGCACACTCTGGCTTCAGCGTTCATTGGGACGGTGGTTCTGTTGATTCATAAGAATCACCTGGTCGTATAAAATCCAGGTGTTCATGTTCCAGCATTTCTGAATCAGTGGGTCTGAGGTGGGGCTTGGGAATCCAAATTTTTCATAAAACTCCAGTTGATTCTGAGGCTGGTGGTACTCCATCTGACTTTCAAAAAACACTGTGGGAATATTAGCTTTTGGGGCCTCAGAAAAAGTGCAGATTTCTGTGCATTTCGCTGCCTCACCTTCAATTTCCAACCCTAGTGGGTCCCCAGATATATTCAGAGGCAGACGTATAATTTCTGTTTTGTATGGAAATAACTTTACATGAATTTGTCTGAAATTTTGCAAGCGGCTTAACAATCACCATAGTGGATACAGATTTCATTGGCTCAGACTCAGGGGTGCAAAAACATAATAAATTCAGTGATTGTTCACATTGTTCAGGTTTAAAACTCGGGATTTCCTTTTTTTCCTATCCCTAAGGTGGATGCAAAGCTCCAAGGACTAACACAGATTCTGTGTCAGGAGAAGGGAGACAACAACTTCTTGAACTTGATCTGTCTTAGTCTTACACCAGTCTCCTTTTCCCACTGAGTCCTCTGCCACATTGCCTTCCAGGCTGGCCATCCAAGCTAGTGGATTCTTCACCCAGTATTTGTCAGTACTGTCTGAGCTGCATTTCTGTAGACCCCGTAGTTCTTTCTTTGCAAGCTAACTTTGACATCCCCTTTGGGATGAGATGGGGAAATGGCACAAGTTCTTCCATCCCACTTAGGAGCCATGGAAAACTCCTGGTGTCTCTCCAGGACCCCCTTGTGCCTAGACACCGCATACCATTCTGTCTGTCCTATTGATGACATGGAGGCTTTGCTCACGAAGTTCGCCCTCTCCCTAGGACACACACGTTCTAGGACACACTGTTCTAGGAGCCCTCGAGTGGATCTTCTCTTGCTTCTGAGACTTGACCTAGGGATTGACAGGTGCAGCCTCTTTCCATCCAAGTCTCCATTTCTTCTCTAGTTCCCATCATCTTTATTCCTAAGGAGGAGATGGACCATTTGTGGCCAGTAATATTCATTTCCTGTGGGTTTTGTTTTTTTTTTTTGTCTTTTACTTGGACCCACAGCACTGGGCTGTCGAGAAGGCCATCAGGATGTATCTGAATGAGTTATAAGGGAAAGCAACAAATCTATCCACATATCTTTAATTTCCTTTCCTCAGGCTAACAGCCTATTTTGGTCTACTTGACATCTGTGGTGTGAAGGGTGGAGAAACAGTGATGGTTAATGCAGCGGCAGGAGCGGTGGGCTCTGTGGTGGGGCAGATAGCTAAGCTCAAGGTAAGTGGCTTCTTCAAGTGCCAAACATTTACTCAACACCCACAGTGTGCAATGAGAACACAATAGTGAACAGAGTAGACCTTCCCCAGTCTCACAGAATTCAGTGGAGTGGGTCTTGTTTAGAAGTTGAAGATAGATTCAGAATATGAGAGATTTCTGAAGAGCTACTCTCTGTAACAATACAGTCTCTAGTCTCATCCTGAAAGTGCTTTTCAGAATGTTCTCTAGTTCCTCTATGATTAGACAGGATCTAGTCCAATGCTTTAGCCCAAATCAAAGAACAAGGGGGCAGTCACTGGGAGGGCTGACAAAGGGCCTGAGAGTCCCAGAACTGAGCCCAGATTATAGTCTAAAGGACCACTGTACCAAAAGATAGCATGCAAGTAACTGCAAGAGAAGACCAAAAATAAAGAAACAAGAGAGTCAAATATAAAGGTTGTCAAGCCAACAACTTAAAACGAGCTGTAAACCACATAACCACAGAGACTGGAATCTACTGATTGGTCAGAGGCAAGCAGAAGTTACAAGTTGGGTTGTAGGCTGATTCAAGGACTAATTTCACCTATAGACCTATTGGCCCATATGGTCATCTTCATATATAAGGCTCAGCACTTAGGGTGTTATTGGGGAACCTGACTGTACTAGCTAGGAGGGGGGTTGGTCCATGCTTTTGACTTATAAATGGTTTCCATTTTTCCCTCCCCATTTAGGGCTGCAAAGTTGTTGGAGCAGCAGGGTCTGATGAAAAGGTTGCCTACCTTAAAAAGCTTGGATATGATGTTGCCTTTAACTACAAAACAGTAGAGTCTTTAGAAGAAACTTTGAAAAAAGCCTCTCCTGATGGTTATGATTGTTACTTTGATAACGTGAGTACAAACTGGACTTAATATCTTATTTACTAACAAACTACTATACAAAAGAATATGCTTTTAGAGTTCCCACCTAAAATATGTAAAGAGAGTACATATGCCTTTAAAAGAACAGGTGTATTGAGACAATAATTTACCGATTTTTAAGCTTTGAACCTAGTGGTTTTTAGTACATTCACAGAATTGTACGATCATCACTACAATCAGTTTTAGAACATTTCATTATCCCAGAATGATGATGCTATACTCATCACAGTCACTCCCCATTCGCCCCCAGAAGTGGTCTTTTGTGACTAGCTTCTTACACTATACATTAGCATGTCTTCAAGTTTTATCCATGTTGTAATGTGTCTCAGGGCTTCATTCCTTTTTTTTTTTATGACCACATAATATTCCATTGCCTGGATATACTGTATTTTATTTATCCATCCATCGATTGATGAGCAGCTGAGTAATTTTTGCTTTTTGGCTATTATGCTTAATGTTGCTATGAACATTCCTGATCAAGTTTTTGTGTGGATATATGTTTTCATTTTTCTTGGGTATATACCTATACATGGAATTATTGGGTCATGTGGCACCTCCATATTTAACATTTTGAGGAACTGACAAGCAATTTTGCAAAATGGCTGCACTATTTTACATTCTCGCCAGCAGTGTATGAGGGTTCCAATTTCCCTACATCCTCATCAACACTTATTATCTATGATTTTTATTATGGCTATCCTTGTGGGTTTGAAGTAGAATTTCACTGTGGTTTTGATTTTCACTTCCCTAATTGCTAATGATACTGGATGGCTTTTCATGTGCTTATTGTCCATTTGTATATCTTTGGAGATATTGGAGAGATTTGGAGAGATTCAGATCTCTTGCCCATTTTTCAATTGGGTTGTTGGTTGAGTTTTAAGAGTTCTTTATAAAAGCTCTGATAAGTCCCTTATCAGACATAGTCAATTCTCAATATTCCTGGTAGTTATATTCTATCAAGCACCACAAACCCTGAACCATTGCTTCTAGGGGAAGTATGTACATTTATGTACATATTTCAACTTGATTATCATCTTAAATACTAAAAACAGTTCTTCCCTACAAGCTTCTATTTTCTTTATTTTTCTTTTCCTTTTTAAAAAGATTTTGTTTTTTTGACAGAGATGGGGAGAGAGGAAACACAAGCAGGGGGAGTGAGAGAGGGAGAAGCAGGCTTCCCGCTGAGCAGGGAGCCCAATGCTGGGCTCAATCCCCGGACTCTGGGATCATGACCTAAGCCAAAAGCAGATGCTTAACGACTGAGCCACCCAGGTGCCCCTTTCTTTATTTTTCAAAAGAGAAAAGGAGGTTCAGAAGTGGTAAGAAGCTTACCTGAGGCTGCCCCACAAGTTCATCCCATATTTGGGATTCACACTCCATCTAACCAGCCCCAGAGCTGGAGCTTTTTTATCCACTCTGCACAGCCCTCTACTGCTTTCCTTCCCCAGTAATCTCTGGGAGAGCTGACAAAAGAAGACAGAGCCTTGGCCTTTGTTGACCTTGCCTGGGAACTTTGTGTCTCTTCCGCGGCTCTAGGCTTGTCTCCAAATGATTAGGCAAGCTCTGTGAGTGTTGATTTCCGGGTTATAAATAAATGTTAGCAAGTAATCCCATTCTCAAATACGGAATATACTAATAAGGAGGATTGGCTCTGGTTTGCAATTCTTTTCTCCAACTCATATGTTCTATGAGTTGTTTTTCACTTTCTTTTTTGCTTTTCTTTCACTTTCTTGATGGTGTCCTTTGAAACACAAAAGTTTTAAATTTTGATGAAGGCCGATTTATTTCTCCTTTTGTTGGTTGGGCATTTGGTGTCATGTCTAAAAAGGCCTTGCCTTATCCAAGGTCACAAAGATTTACTCCTATTTTTTTTTCTTTTTTTCTAAGAGTTTTATGGTGTTAGCCCTTATATTTGGGTCCATGATACATTTTAAGTTAATTTTTGTGTATTGTGTAAGAAGGGGTCTGATTTCATTCTTTTCCATATCCAGTTATTCTACACCATGTGTTGAAAAGACTATTTTTTCCTCCTATTACATTGTTTTGGCCCTCTTGTCAAAAATCAATGAACCATAAAGTAAGGGTTTATTTCTGGACTCTCAAGTTAGTTCTGTTGATCTATATGTCTGTGCCCACACTGTCTTGCTTGGTACAGCTTTGAAGTAAGTTTTGAAATTGGAAAGTGTGAGTCCTCCAGCTTTGTCCTTGATGTGGCTTTTGAGTATTTTTTCCATGCTCTTCAATAGGGGCAATGAGATTACTGAACTGATCAGAGAACTCCAAATAAATAATAAAATAATAAAATAAAACATATAAGTTATATATGGTATGTTCCTACAAATAGAAATGCCCAGCCTCTCCTGTCTTTTTCCAACTGCAATTTTCTGCACTGCTGTGCTAACTCAATCAGGTTTTTTTTTTTTTAATTCTAGAATAAATTTTGTGAAATGATGGATGTGACTTCTCCCGAGTCTTCTAGTGTTTAGATTATTTAACATGGGTTTTGTTTTCATCCTGTCTGTGTAGGTAGGTGGAGAGTTTTCAAACATTGTTATTCCCCAGATGAAGAAATTTGGAAGAGTTGCTATATGTGGGGCCATCTCTACATACAATAGTACTCGCCCGCTTCCCCCAGGTAATGAGCTCGTGCACGTGATCACAGAGGTAGAAAGACGGGACAAGGAGAAGATTCACGGATGTGCTATAGGCCAGTGACTATCAAAATGTTAAAAAGCCTTCCTGATATTCTTGATGAAATAGTGTTTATTAAACTAAAACTATGTAATTTCATATATTTGTACTAAATAGCTTGTATCATATTTTGATATTGAGAAATAACAGAATCTAAAAATATAGAAGCATGTTGATAATTTTTAAAAGTTTTAGTTTTTTACCTATTGTTTTGGGCAAAGTTGTAAAAAGGAAACCATGATTTGGTTTGGAAACAGAACACCTTGGTCTGGCTGGTGCAGTGTAAGGGTTCTGCAGGATACTTGAGACGTTGCTGGGGAGGTATGGGGTTGGGGGGAGGATGACTTGATGGGTGAAGGGAACAATGAGCTTTCATTTCCTTCCGATGGTAGTGGTGGTGGTTCCTAGAGCAGCAGGACACACTGGCTCCCCCAAACTGACCATTTCCAATGAGAGGGAAAGGAGTGTGCATTTCCCCTCTGTTCCTGGATTGTCCTTGTTTTGTTTCTGCTGTGCCTCTGTCCCCCACTTCTCCACTCTCCTATGCAGACACCGCCCCCTCCCCTCCATACCACAGAGATCCAAAAGCAGTATCAACTAGAGAACTGTATTCCTTAAATCCTGCTTCTCTGAGAGACATGATACAGGCCTCTTACTCCGTGGGTGGGGAGATGAATGACAAGAGGACCAGAGGCTTTTTTTTTTTTTTAAAGATTTTATTTATTTACTTGATAGAGATTATAAGCAGGCAGAGAGGCAGGCAGAGAGAGAGAAGGGGAAGCAGGCTCCCCGCTGAGCAGAGAGCCCAATGCGGGGCTCCATCCCAGGACCCTGAGATCATGACCTGAGCCGAAGGCAGAGGCTTAACCCACTGTGCCAACCAGGTGCCCCGACCAGACGCTTTTTAAATCCTATCAGCAAGAGACTAAAAGACAGGTCTTCTGAACTCCTCATACAGAGTCCTTCTCTCTACAAAATTCTACAAAATCTCTACAATTCTTTTTTATTTTTTGAGATTCTTTTCTTTTGTTTTGTTTTTTAAACTTTATTTTAGAGAGAGAGGGAGCCAGTGCAGGGGAGGAGAAGAGGCTGAGGGAGAGAATCTCAAGCAGACCCCAAGCTAACATGGGGCCTGATCCCACAGCACTGAGATCAAGACCTGAGTGGAAACCAAGAGTCAGTCACTCAATAGACTGAGCCACGCAGGCGTCCCTCAAGACTGCCACATCTCTGTGCTGTTCGTGAGATTACAGATTTATCTGTGGTCCAAAAAAAGGAGAAAAAAGAGCAAAAAGGAATCTTGGAGAGTGTCATCGGGATCTGGGAGGATAGCCATAAATAAATTGAGTGTTCATTCCGTGATGGGTTTCGCTTATGGGAATGAAACCCTAGAGCCCAGCTAGTCAACAACCCCACAACCACATTGAGACAAGTGAGCGAGACTGGAAGGGGCTGAGAAAGGACAGCTTGTAGATTCCCTCTTGGTTGTGAAAAATCAAAGACACTACCTTCTCTAAGAAGACTCCAGGTACATTTGGCAGTCTTATTGTCAGGGACTTTTTCCCCTGTATTTTCCTAACGGATGCTAAGCTAGAATCATGGGAAATCTTCTGCCTGCCCATTGAGCAAAGCTCCAGGATGCATTTTCTTGACCGTAGTCCAATTAGGTACAGCCAAATATTTTGGGTCCAGTAACTTGATCTAGTCTTTTTAGCAATTAGGGTTTGGAAGTTCAGCTGCTCAGATAGGTCTTTGAGACATCAGCTGGCCTTGTCCATCCATTTTAGACGAGATTCTGCCCTGCCTCTGATCTCCAGAAATTCTGACATATTTCACTGTTAGGATAGCTCAGGGGTAATTAATTATTTCCCAGCTTTAATGCCACATTAAAGTGCCACATTCTTTTTTTTTTCTTTGATGGGTTTTAACTATATTTTGTTTTATTTTTTAAGATTTTATTTATTTCAGAGACAGAGCATGAGTTGGCGGGGAGGAAGCAGAGGGAGAGGGAGAGGCAGACTCCCGCTGAGCAGGGAGCCCAACGTGGGGCTCAGTCCCAGAACCCTGAGATCATGACCTGAGCTAAAGGCAGATAGTCAACTGAGTCATCCAGGTGCCTCAACTTTTTAAAATTTAAATTCAATTAATTAACATATAGTGTATTAGTTTCTGTGATTCATCAGTTGTATATAATATCCAGTGCTCATTCCATCAAGTGCCCCCCTTTAATGCACATCACCCAGTTACCTCATCCCGCCACCCCCCTCCCCTGCAGCAACCTTCAGTTTGTCTCTTATGGTTTGTCTCCCTCTCTGATTTCATCTTGTTTTATTTTTCCCTCCCTGCCTCTGTGTTAAAATGCCGTATTCTTATTGATCCCAATAAAGAAACCGTATTCCCATCAGGGTGGATAAGCCCAGAAATAGTATTTCATCCCCTTCCAAGATGAGGAAATAAGGATTCCAATCCCTAACCTAAAAAGAAATATGGTTGCTGTGGGTCTTCTGAAGAAGCCCTCTTTGTGCCAGAGGAACCTAGCGTCTGGACGTGCCACTCTCCTGTGTCACCCTCATGTCTCATCTTGCAACAGTTTCTTTTGATTTAGGAAAAAGCCCCATTTTTCTTGCTGCTCCTGTGACTTTCTTCAAAGTACTGAGTGGGAACCTTCAGCCTGAGTGATGCCAGTCACTCAGTCACAAGGATGTCACAAAAAAATTCTGCCAGTCACCTTGGCTCTTCTTCCTGGGCATTTTCACCTGAGTTCCTGGAACTTTTCACACTATGCTCAGGGGTCATTCCCTCGGTTTCCGGTCCCTTCAGATCCTTGGGAAAACAAGCCAGACAACAACACAACCTTTTCTCTCACACACAGAAGTGTACTACCTTCTTAATAGGCTGCCCGGTAGCCTAGGGCTTTTTCTAGGCTGGTGGTTCTCAAAGTGTGGGCCCAGGATCAACAGCATCATCCTCTCCTGAGAACTATAGAAATATAGATTCTTGGGATCCACTCCATATCCACAATCAGAAATTGGGGGAGCAGCCAGAGTCCTCTTTCCACGAGCTCTCCATGTGATTCTCATACACACCAAATTGCGAGACCGCTGTTTGGGCCGACTCTTGGTATCCCAAAATGATGAGGCCCAGGACAGGTAGAATCACTGAGCCTCTTGATCTGTTCTCTCTTGGCTCTCTCAATAGCTTTTTTATATCTGCCTTGAGAAGAGAACAAGAGACAGGGCTATGCCATAGAATGAGTGCAGTAAGTCATAAAGAAAAGAACATGTGAAGTATCGGGACTATCAGGGTATTTATGCCTGAGTAGCACAGAAATATTTCCACAGGTTACCTTCAGGACCTCTTTCTTTTCCATAGAACTGTTCGGGACATTTTTGGTGGGTCTTGCCCCTAGCAGGTGAAGGCTGAACATCCGCTGGCTGTCTGGCCTGTGTAAGGGCTCTGAGTGTGTATCAGTCCGATTGCTGCTGTGACAAATTATCTCAAGTTTAGTGGCTAGCAACAACACAGATTTATTGTCTTATAGTTCTGGGGATCAAAAGTCTACAATGGGTCAGTAGGGCTGAATTCTTTCTGAAGGCTCAACTGGCTGTTAACTTGCCTTTTCCAGCTTCTAGAGGCTGCTGCATTCCCTGGCTTGTGGTCCCTTCCTCCATCCACAAAGCCCACAGCACAGAGTCTCCCAGTATCTCTCCCTCTCTCTCTTACTTACTCTGATCTGTGTTTCCAGCATTGCACATTTTTTCCTACTTCTGACTTTTCTGCCTCCTTTACAGGGACCTTCGTGATTATAATGGGCCCACTGAGTAATACCCAATAATCTCTTCAGCTAAAGGCTCTTAACCTGATCATACCTGCACAGTCCCTTTTGCCACGCAAGGCAAGAAATTCACAGCCATCTTTGGGGACTGTGATTCTGCATGCCTCAGAGGCCAGGTTGATTTATGGAGAGCCCCATGGATCAGAAACGAGTGGAGAAATCTAGAACAGTGACGTGACTTGTACTGCTTGTGTTTTTGCCACGGCCACCTCCCTGGACCCTGTCACCTAAATGTGTCCTCCCATTCACAGGCCCACCCCCAGAGAACATAATCTATCAGGAGCTCCGCATGGAAGGGTTCATCGTCACCCGCTGGCAAGGAGAGATCCGCCAGAAGGCTCTAAAAGACTTGCTGCAGTGGGTCATGGAGGTAACTGTCCCCCCATTGCACACAAGAGCCCATTTCCTCTCCACACTATAGGTTTCACCTCCACAGCGAATACAGGTGCATCTCCCTGCTCCCCCTTTTAGAATAAAATCCCAGAGAGAGTTGTTTACACTCACTGTCCACAGTTCCTCTCTGTCCATTCTTTCTTAAACCCACATATCAGGCTTGTACCCTCTTGCCATTCTACCAGATTGCCTTTGTCAAGGCTGACGATGTCGTCATGCTGTGAACTGCAAGGGACAGTGGTTCACATCCTGTGGCTGTGGCGAGCATTTGACAGAGGTGATCACGCTCTCCTCAGTACACTTTCTTCCCTGGGCTCTCGGTTTTCCTCGAAGATTTGTCCTTCTCAGAGGATCTCCTCCTCTGCCAGCTCCTTTCCTGCTCTACAAATGAATAACAGAGTGTCCCAAGGGATGGGACTGGGTTCACTGGGCTTCTTTTCTTCTCTACCCACAGTCTACCTATCCCTTACGTAGCTCAGCCTGGCTCTTGGCCTTAAATATCCTCCAGATGCTGACGGCTCCTGAACGTCTGTCTCCAGCCTGGGGCTCTGCCCCGGACTCTTGGCCGCTCAGCAGCAGCTGCACGCGTATGAGTAATACACATCTTTGACTCAACACGTCAAAAACTAAATATGTCTTGATCTTTCCTGCCAGACCCATTCCGTATACAGATCTCACCATGTCAGTTACAGCAATTCTATCCTCCTAGTTGCTCAATCTAAAAACCTTGAAATCATCTCTTTGATTCCTTTCTTTCTCTCCTACCCACACCTCCCCTGTCAGCAAATTCTGGTGGCTCAATCTTCAAGATACCCGCAGAATCTGGCCAGCTGTTCCACCTCCGCTACTTCCACCCATGTCCAGGCCGTCATCTGTTCTAGCCTGGGTGTTGCAGGAGCCTCTGGGTGATCTCCTGACTTTATGTCCCAACAGACAATTCCCAACACAGCTGCCAGAGTGACCTTTTAAAGCACAAATCAAACCATGTCATTCTTCAGCTCAGATCTCTGCAAAACTCCCCATTTCATATAGAATAAAACCTACAAGGCTATACATGATCTGACCTTCATTACCTCTGCAATTTTACTTCTTAGCGTTCACCCCCTTGCTCACTCTGCCCAATCCCTCCCCACCTCCCTCTGTCCCTCTGTAACTGCTTCCTTAATTCGCTCATTCCCTGTAGGACTTTGTTAAAATCTACCTGCTGAATGAGGCAACTTTTAAAATGGCCCTATTTTAAATTGCAATCCCCCCTCATTTTTAAAAATTTATTTATTTTGGGGGAGAGAGCATGCATGTGAGTGTGTGTGCTTGCAAGCCAGGGTGGGTGGGGGGAGGACAAGCAGATTGTACACTCAGCACAGAATCCACTGAGGGGCTCGATCCCATGACCCTGAGATCACAACCTTGAGATCATGACCTGAGCAGAAACCAAAAGTCTGTTGCTTAACCGACGGAGCCACACAGGCGTGCCTGCAATCCCCCTTCATTCTTGATCCTCCTTATCTTGCTTTTACCCATAGCAATGATCACCTTTTAACATAATGTATTCTATAATTCATGCATATTTGTCGCCCGTCTCCCTGTGGTGAGAATGTAACCTCCACAAAGGCAGTAACATTCGTGCATTGTCGAATACATCCGGAGATGTATATAATCGTGCCGTGGTCTTCCAGGCCCTCGGTTGGTGTCTTCTTAGGGCCACGGCCTCAGATCCACAGGAGAAGCCTATCCCCTTGTCCCGTGCTGTGATACTGTCCCACCGTACACCACATGGTTATTCAGAACACTGCATAGCAACCAAGGGCCATCATTTTAGTGTTAGAGGGGAAGCGGTATCACACTTCTAAGCTCCTGGCTTGATCATCATTTCCCAATCCAGAGCAAAAGATTGCTCTTCTGGCAGCCACGGAGCTTGGTGCTTTTCCCAGTCCAGCACTTGGAGTGCTGAGCTGGGCTCTTTCCAGGAAGCTGAGAAGAGCTGAATGATTTTTAAGTTCCCAGTGTGGAGCCTCTTTGTCCCTGTTGGTGAAATCTGATCTGTCCCTCCCTCAGTCACAGCTGACGACACGAAGGCACTGTGCTGGGGTCCTGCATGCCTCCTTCTGACAGAGTGGACCTAATGACAGTTTTGTTTTCAGTAACTAGTAAACTGGCCTAATTTCTCTCTTATTTTTTTTTTCCTCATCACTTCCCCTTCTGAAAAATACACTTTTCTTTTAGAATCGTTTTCAATTTACAGAAAAATCACAAAGTTAGGGGGTGCCTGGGTGGCTCAGTCGTTAAGTGGCTGCCTTTGGCTCAGGTCATGATCTCAGGGTCCTGGGATCGAGCCCCAAATTGGGCTCCCTGCTCAGTGGGGAATCTGCTTCTCCCTCTGCCTCATCCCCTGCTTGTGCTCTCTCTCTCTCTCTCTCTCTATCTCTCACTGTGTCTCTGTCAAATAAATAAATAAAATCTTAAAAAAAGAAAAAAGAAAAATCACAAAGTTAGTACAAAGAGTTTCCATAGGCCCTGTATGCTGTACCTTTTTTTTTTTTTTTTTGACAGAGATCACAGGTAGGCAGAGAGGCAGGCAGAGAGAGGGGAGGAAACAGGCTCCCTGCTGAGCAGAGAGCCCGATGCAGGGCTCGATCCCAGGACTCTGGGATCATGACCTGAGCCGAAGGCAGAGGCTTTAACACATTGAGCCACCCAGGCGCCCCCCTGTATGCTGTACCTTAATTTACCATATTATTAACACTTTTATATTAGTATTCATCCTCTACTTTGAACTTTTAAACTTTGGGTTACAGCTTTTAACCCCTTTCCAGGTTCTTTGCCTCTTTAAGAACAGGAAAAAGCTGGGGCTTTCTAGTCAAGGGTTCAAATCCCAGCTCCCATACATATTAGTTGCACAACCAACCACCAGGCAAACAGTCCCTCTGTAAATCCATACCGGGTGCTGAGCCATCACTGGAATATATTAGGAAAGTAAGTGATGTCAGTATATTAGGAAAGTAAGTAAGTAAGTAACTCCGGTCTCCACATAAGGCCCCTTTAAAAAAAAACCTTGAAAATGTAAATTAATTCCACTTAGTAGACTGCCTTGTAGTAGAAAGAAAAATAAATCCTCACTAAATGAACCCTTCCCTCCCACACTCCTAAATGAATATTCAACATATATTGAAAGAATCTGGGCTGGATGTGAGGGCAGACTATTACACTACCATGGTATTTACATTTGCCGAACAGGCTCAGCCTCTTCAGGGATCAAAGAGGCAATGACGCTACATCATGAAGCAACCGGAAGGATTAAAGCAGATAATATCCTGCAAGGGGGCCCCTTTTTCCATCTTCTTCCATCTCCTCTGAGATCATTACCTTATTAAACTTTCCCATATAATTTACTTAGAAATTGCTTGTTCACTTCCTGTGACACTTCTCCTATTATTATGCTGTGATCTAATACCTATTATCAAAGTTTTATTTGTACTTTGTGGATCATGCCCCAAGATCGATTATAAGTTCATGGGGGGACAGAGCCTCCATCCTAGATTTCCAGGTTTCCCATAGTGTACCTGATTAATTTGCTGCTATGATGAGATGAGTATCATTTAGAATATGAAATTAATCTGTTATATTTGTTGTCGTTCTGATACAGGGTAAAATCCAATACCACGAATACATCACTGAAGGATTTGAAAACATGCCAGCTGCATTTATGGGAATGCTGAAAGGAGATAATTTGGGAAAAACAATAGTGAAAGCATGAACAAAATGACACATGGAATCTAGCATTTGGATGATTAATTTCTTTTTAACCATTTAGTAAAAATGTGTATTACCTTCATTATCTAAGAAACAGTCATTGTGATGAGTTTGATCTACCTGATAAAACACATTTAACTGGTATGTAATTGGAATAAAGAGTGAAAATTTCACAGTGAATAATGGCCAATCACCTCACTCCCTATTACTGTTCCTTCTGGCTTATGGTGCAAACTAATGGTTTGGAGTCCAAAAGTTTACTGCTTCTGTGACTTTGGAGTTCTGATTTTTTTTTTTTTTCCCTGATCTGTAAAGTGAGGATAGTATCATCAGCTTTATATACGTATTACAAATTTATTTAAAACACCAGCATAGGGGTACCTGGGTGGCTCAGCCCGTTAAACAACTGACTCTTGATTTCAGCTCAGGTCATGATCTCAGGGTTGTAGGACTGATTTCTGTGCCAGGCTCCAAGGTCAGTGGGAAGTCTGCTTCAGATTCTCTCCCTCTCCTTTGATCCCTTTCCCCTCACTGCATACACACTGTCTCTCTAAAATAAAAAATTAAAAAATCTTCAAAACAAAACACAAACACCTACATAATGCATAGCCTGTATTAGGGACACAGTAAGTGTTAGCTACCTTCCTGTAGAAATTAGTGAAGTCATAAAGTTACCACCCTCATTGCTTATTACATGAGAAGAAATAATCATTGCTAATGTATGGTGGTCTCAAGGCAGCTGAGTCTAATAACATCACACCAAGGAAGGGATTTATTGTTCCATAGGTATGTATCAATAAGTTTTGATACAATTTGTCTCCAGGGAAGAGAACTGAGGAGTGCCTGAAGGGCAGGGATAAGAAAGAAACTTCACACTATATAACATTTTGTGCTTTTTAAATTCTGAATCTTAGAAATTATTTATCCACTATTAAAAATACAATTAAAGAAACAAAAGTCCTTGCCCTCCCCATTCCATATGGGGAAAGTAAAACATATGTATGAGTGAAAACTCAGGAAAGTGTGGGGGTACACTCACCCAAGAAGGGCGCCTCTGGTGTCTTTAACTCAAAGATATCCATACTGAACCTCCAGCAATTACAGCGCAAGTTTTCCCACCATGGTGCTACTGGTGCCCATGGAGATTTCTGTTCTTGGGCTTCAACTCCAATAGCACAAGTCTCTGTTTCCACCTGTCTGACTCTCCAACTCTGGGGGCAGCCATTTGTGACCTCAGTTCTCTGCTGTCTCTCAAAAGAGTTGATCCTTCCGTTTCCTCAACTTACTTTTTGTCTGGACAGAGTGATGACTTCCAAAGGCAACACACGCTGGCCCAGAAACATAGTCCAGAGCATTTATTTTTGTTCTAAGATTTAGTTATTTATTTGAGCATGAGTGGGGGGTGGGCAGAGGGAGACAATCTTCAAGTAGACTTCCCTCTGAGTGTGGAGGCTGACTTGGGGTTCAATCCCACAACCCTGAGATCATGACCTGAGCCAAAATCAAGAGTCAGATGCTTAACTGACTGAGCCACCCAGGTGCCCCAACGGCATTTATTTTTAATTTTGATAACACTTATCTTTTTTTCCTTTACAGTTACTGATTTTCGTGTCTCACCTAAGAAACCTTTGCCTAGCTCAAGGTCATGAAATCTTTCTCCCATATTTCATTCAGCTTTAGATGTTATGTTAGATCCGTGACAGAGCTTAGAATAGGGGATTGAGATTGACAGCAAAGGAGCAAGAGAGAATTTTCTGGGGTAATTTCAGTGTTCTGTTGGAGTGGGGATGACATAAGGGGAGATATTTGTCAGAACTCATAAAGTGGTATATTTAAATGTGCATCTTATTATATGTAAATTATACCTCAACACACTTAATTTTTAAAAAAGAAGAAAAAATATGTCCAGTGCAAAAGACATAGGCCACAAGACAGGAGCTTTCCAGCTACCAAACTACCACAGACTCCTGACTTACTCAGAGGGAGAGAGACAATAATCAGCCAGAGTAAGGCCGAAGTCTGAGAGATCCACAACCACGCAGTATGTACTTTTTGGGAAAGCCTCCCAAGCAGGCATTAATATTTTCAACTTCAGAGGAGAAAGGAGGAACACAGGGCTTCCTGTTTCCCCCACTTCCATCTACATCTTCTGGAATTTATCTTGGTCCCAACAGTAAAATAGGTATCTGTCTTAATTTTTTCCAAGTTATAAGCCAGTTTTCCCTACATCATTTATGGAATCCATCTTTCCTTCATTGACTTGAAATATATCTTTTACTATGTTTTCTATTTGTAGGTACTTGGTTCCATATCTAGACTCACCCACTCAAAACACAAAGATGTGTGTTTCATTGTTTTGCTACTAATGTGAATAGGATTTTTTTCCATTGCATTTTTTAGTTATTGCTAGAGCTTGGGAAAGTTTTAAAATACATCTCTCAGTCTATGCACAATTATGTATTTTTGTAATAAAGTATTAAAAGAGTGCCCTTTTTAATACAGTATTTCAGAATAACTCATTTTTAAAGTTTTATTTTACTTAAATTCAGTTAATTATGTATATCATTAGTTTCAGAAGATTAACTCATTTAAAATACTTGCCATAGTGTTTTAGCCTGATGTTTAACACAACTATTGCCAAGTGGCTAATTGGACTTGATATGATACAACTCATTGTGACTTTTGCCAGCATGCAATAGTCCACAATTCAAGTATTTGGAGTTTACGTTCTGTGAACTTGTGTATGTCCCAAGAATATAATTTTTTCAGTGCAATTTCATAGTAAAGTGACAGTCAACAGCCTACAAATGAAGGATGAATTTCCAGATAAAGAACCAGGCAGGACATCAACACTGACAGCGTATTATCAGCCCAATTGAAAAAGTTTAACAAGATCTACAGAGCTTCTAATTTTAAGGGAGTAAGAAATCTGCCTTCTTGTCTGGAAAATCATCCAAAACAACCTAGGGCATAAGAAACAGAAAAACAAACTCCATTTAAGAAAAATTAAGAGGAACCAGTAGGATTTTTGTAACCCGTTGTTATAAGAAAGACAGGCAATAACAAGCGATGGCAAAGAGGTGAAAAATCGATTCTGCCAATTTACTCACACATTGCTGATGGGGATGTAAAGTGGTGGGACCCCTCTGGGAAACAGTTCAGGAATTCTTCAAAATGCTAGGCAGAGTTGCCGTGTACACCACACTCACAGTTTCACTCACTGGTATACACCAAAGAATTGAAATCATACGTCCACACAAAAACTTATACCCAAATGTTCATAGCAACATTATTCATAATAGCCCAAAGAAGAAACAACCCAATGTCCATCAAATGATGAATGGCTGTAATGTGGTATATCCATACAATGGAATACTATTCAGCCATAAAAAGGAATGAAGTACTGATACACGCTACAACATAAATAGATTTTTGGAAACATCAGTCTAACTGAAAGAAAACAGACACAAAAGGCCATTCATTGTATGATTTTTTTAAAAAGATTTTATTTACTTATTTGGGAGAGAGAGTGAATGAGAGAGAAAGGGAGAAGGAGAAGCAGACTCCCTGCTGAGCAAGGAGCCTGATACAGGACTCCATCCCAGTAACTCCCAGATCATGACCTGAGCCCAAGACAGACAGCCACCCAGGTGCCCCTGTATGATTCAATTTATATGGAATGTCCAGAAAAAAAAACAGGCAAATTTAGAGACAAAGTAGATTAGTGAGTGGTTGTACAGATTGGGAAGGGGGAAGTAGGAAGTGATGGCTAATAGGTGTGGAATTGATTTGGGAAGAGATAAAAATATTCTTGAATTATATAGTGGTGATAGTTTTTTTTTCTTTTTTTTAAAAAACGATTTTATTTATTTGAGATAGCAAGCATGAGCAGAGGGAGGGGCTGAGAGAGAGGGAGAAGCAGGCTCCCAGCTGAGCAGGGAGCCCCATATGGGGCTTGATCCCAGGATCCTGGGATCATGACCTGAGCCAAAGGCTAACAATTAACTGACTGAGCCACACAGGCACCCCTATAGTGGTAATAGTTGCACATCTTTGTGACAATACTAAAACCACTAAATTGTACACTTCAAAGAAATGAATTTTTGCAGTATTATTCACGATAGCCAAGGTATGAAAACAACATAGTGTCCATTAAGAGATGAATGGATAAAGAAAACACTCACACACACACAAATATCCTTCAGCCTTAGAAAAGGAAATTGCCATTTGCAACATGGATAAAACAGGGCATTATGCTTAGTGAAACAAGCCAGGAAAAGACAAATACTAGGTGGCATCACTTATATGTGGAATCTAAAAAGGAAAGGAAAAAGTCAAACTCATGGGAACAATAGAAAAGTAGTTGCCAGGGGTTGGAGGTGGTGAGAAATAGGAAGAGGTTGGTAAAGGGGTACAAATTCAGTTATCAGATAACTAAGTCCTAAGGACTTGTTAGTGTGTAACATGATGAGTGTAGTTGATAACACTGCATTGTATAATTGAAATTTGCTAGGAGTAGAATTTAAAATGTTCCCCTCAAAAAAGGTAAATATGTCAAGTGATGGATGTATGAATTAACTCAACTGGAGAGGGGGATCATTTCACAATATATATACCAAATCATCACTCTGTATGCTTAAAAAATTAAGAAACACATGAAACCCCAAGCAATATTGTATGAAGACACATACTGTTCAGGAACTTGCATTGACAGGACAGGCAAAAAAAAAAAAAAAGCACAACTGCCTTCTTCCAAGGGTACTGATAAAACCTATGAAGATTTGGGAAGTGTAGATGTCAGGTACTCTGGAAGTGAGGAGGCAACCCAAGGGGCTACAAAGATAGTACTTGAAAAGTACAAAAAGAGCAGTTCAAGGGGCACCTGGGTGGCTCAGTGGGTTAAGCCTCTGCCTTCAGCTCAGGTCATGATCTCAGGGTCCTGGGATCAAGCCCCACATCCAGCTTCCTGCTCAGTGGGGAGCCTGCTTCCCCCTCTGCCCCTTCCCCTCCCCCTGCTTGTGTTCTCTCTCTCTCTCTCTCTCTCTCTCTCAAATAAATAAAATCTTAGAAAGGAAGGAAAGGAGGGAGGGGGAAAGAGAGAAGAGAAGGGAAGAGGAGTAGCTCAAGCCCACAGTACCACTCCTACCTTGCCTGGCATTTATCTATCCATAACCCCCCAGAGAAAACTGAAGTATGAACTGTTACCAAGTAGAACCTGAAAGGCTTTTAACTAGGGTCCCTTGGCCCTGGAAGAAGGTGGAAATGAGATGTCAGGCTGAAAACAGATTAAGTGGAAGTCTAAGGCGGGGGTGTGAGTGGACTTCAACTCCCATCCCACAAGGCTGCTTTCT